ATGAAGCGAAACAACGGTGGGATCACTGATCAAGATCCAGATCTGTTTGAAATAAACTGGCCCAGTAAGTAGTGCGCACGAGATAATAATGCGCACGGGTAAAGAACAATCATTGGGGTGTCCCTTTAGGAACTCCGTAGTTTCCCACCTCTCATTTTACGAAGAGGGCTATGGATTGTGCCGTACATGAAAATGTTCCCAAAGTGCTTGTATGGGTGCGGTTTGCTTATTACACAAACATCATAAGGGTCTTTAGAAGCACCTCGTTGTGCGGAATAAAGGGGCTGATCTGCATTACGGAAGCTCCCCTCCGCGGTAGTGCCGAATTCCTCCATTTTCCCCATTTCGCTGATGAAAGTGGAGAGTTGCAAGAAAACGAAGGGAGTATCACAGGAATGGAAACAAATCCAACTATCACGTCGGAAGGTGAAAGTTGGAGACAGTATAGGGACTGGTTTTTCAGCGGTCAGACTGCTAGCTGAGCGAACTAATCAGATGTGCGAAGTTCAAAGCAGTTTACAAAGCGGATCCAGTTGAACTATGAACCATGAACCTAGTAACAGTAGGCTCAATATTTCCCGGTAACTATCGAACCGAACAGAACTTTCACCTTTACACATCACTGTCTGGTAAAACAGTATGGCTGGCTGTCGGGGAAACAAAGGAATATGTCAAAATGTGTTTCAAAATCCCAGGCAGCCCATAACACACTAGAAAATAGCAAATCCTTCAAATTTTTACTAAAAGCGCACGCGATCCTCTTAAAAGTAATTGGACACCTGTACATTTATAGGTAAGCCTGATGTTAATCAAGGGTGATATTTCTGCAAACTTAGGCTGTCCATACGAATCTTTTATAGGCAACATTAGAGAGCTCCATTCGTTGAGCGCCATTTTCAGGAACCGCCCTGCTATGTGTAACAGCACAATTTGCCTCTTGTACAGTCGATATCATAATGGCGACTGGAAAATCAATCGATTCAACTCTGAAAAGGATAAGCAAGAATCACTTGGAATGCAGCATTTGCCAGGAGCGATACGACCGGCCCAAGATACTACCATGCCTCCACAGTTTTTGCGAGAAATGTCTGAATGAATACTGGACGAGCAGGCATCGTGGCGTGCCGAAAATTCCTTGTCCAGTGTGCCGTCAAGAAACAGTACTACCAGAGAAGGGCGTGTCCGGCCTCAAAACGAACTTTTTCATTACGAGTCTGATGGAAGACGTCACACTACAAGATCAAGTGGCAGATGACACGCACGCACTGACGTGCGACACTTGCGACACAGGCGAGGCGACCCACCGCTGCCTGGACTGTTCAAAGAACATCTGTGCTGGCTGCTTGCGGTGTCACAAGCAGTTCCCAGATTTACTGCACCACACGGTCGCTTCTCTGGAGGACATCCGGCAGGGGAAAGTCACGGCCAAAAAGACAAAACGAGAGGGTTATTCTGAGTGTGAGAAGCATGCGGGAGAGATGAGGCGATTCTTCTGCAAAAGGTGCGAAGAGTTGATTTGCAGAGATTGCACGGTGATAGACCATCCTAAAAACGAAGGACACGAGTATGATGACTTGAAGGCTGCTTCCTCCAAGTTGCGTCAGGTGTTCACAGACCTCCTGCCCAGATTGACTGGAAGGGAAAAACTGCTCCAAGACGCCCTAACATTTGTTCAGAAAGTGAAAGAAAAGCTTGAAAACAATGCCTCAAGGGCGATGCAGAAGGTAAGAGACACCGCTGCTACTATGAAAGCTGAAATCGACGCCGAGGTGGATGGGATTATGGATGAAATAGAAAATGTCATATCAAATCGAAACGCGGTAATTGACGGCATGGAAAAAGACGCCCAAACACTGTTGTCTAGGAGTAAGCATTCCCATGAGCTCGCGCGGGACATCACGAGCCACTCATCAGACAGTGATTTTCTTTCCCTGTATCCTGAAATCAAGCGAAATTTGCAGGCCCTCGGTACTGCTAGTCCTCCAAAGGTTGATCAAGAGCTTTCCGCACTCACGGTCATTTTAAGGCCCGTTAACTTCAGGGGTTTATGGCAACTGCAGCTTAAGGAATGCCAGTTTCCAGTTCGTCGGGAAAACAGAATTGTCACACAACCACGTCCCTAGCGGAATATTGACACGGATTAGGTATAGGTCTGAATGGATTTTTTTCAATCTTTATTTTCTTGCATTGATACATGGGCGTCAATCAGTGGGGAACGGGGGGGGGGCGTGTCCCCCTACACTTTCCAAATGGGGGGAATTGTTGTCCCCCACACTTGTTTCGAAACCTAAATGAAAAGGTATACTTATTTGATCCTGTATCTCAGACAAGCTCATTAAATGGCCCCTAACATAATACATACACATGTAAGAAGAAAAAATTACCTGAAAAATTAAACAAATGTTGCCAAAGCATTTGTTACGCCTGCATGGCTAAAGTAGCCAGAAGTTGTCTCAGATCACACCGCAGAGCATCTACACTCCAAAAGTTTCGGGGGCCTTTGAGCGGGCCCCGGACCCCATGCCGCTCAAGGCTTGGCGCTTCGCGCTTGCATTTGTTCTGATCAGGGCTATGACCCCCCCCCATTTTCAAAACGGATTGACGCCTTGCATTGATAGCTGTGAATTGCTTTGAGATAATGGCATTTAATACGTATGGAAGCAATTCATATAAATATTTATAAATCGATTAGTACTTGTAAAGGTATCATTGATAAACTTTCGGATGGAAATTTGAAATTCCATAAATTGAAATAATTGAAATCTTTGTGAATACAGTTAAGAGTCAACAAATATATGTACATAAACAAGTGACTTTGACCGTAGCCTAAAAGGAAAAACAGAGCAACACAAATACCTAACTCTCAGTGATTGTACCTGCTGAAAAGCAATCAACAGAGAGTTGATTATAATCCAAGCTTGCTTAGCAAATCATCTTTATGCTTGTCAAATTTCTATGATTATTTCTGCTGTATGAATTTTGGCAAATGAGGCCACGTTACTTGTATAAGTGCATTTAGCTCGTTTGTCCGCCAACTGTACACTGCCATACTGTGATCTAACTTTGATAATGGCCTTGTTAAGCAACGATTTTAAATGCTTAGACTGAACCTATAAGAGTTATTAATGTACAATCTTAATCATTAGGTTGGCTTTCTGTGCGTTCATATCTGTAAATTTCAAAATATAAAAAGTTTGTGTATATTAAAGTTTATGTTTTTTATCAGCAGCTTTCAATACAAAAACTTCTAAGAAGATTATTTACCCATTAAAATTTCTCTGCTCTCTACGAGCTTGCAAACACTGGATGCATACTCCTTAACTTTTTGCGACCTTCATCCTTACCTCATTTCCATAAACGTATTTTCCACTTATTTTGCACATTAATTTAGTGTGATTTGAGGGCTGTGAATGAGCAATACCATAGGCGGTAGATATTGTCCATGATTCAGGGCTTCAGTCGGAAACAAAAATGAGCACTGTGAACCTTGCATAAGACCGTACATGTATTTTGAATTTGTAGGAGTTGCTTCGAGCAAATGGGCCTGTTCCAAAGGGCTATTAATGGGGGAAGGGGGTGTCTGCCTCTTGCAGGATGTCTGACATTGGTAACCGTAAGATCCAGGTATCTTCTCTGGTTTTCACTTGAGCTTGTTTGGAAATAACGATGGAAGTATTTCTTGGATTTTCTCACCCTGTCGGGGGGATTCAGATGGTCAGCACCGTCTGGTTGCATGGCAGCACCGGTAGCGGTCATTGGTGGTGACAGCTGGCAGACGAGCACCACACATCAATGATAATGTCATTTGGAACTTTATAAGGGGTTGGGAAGTGTGACGCTTTTCCCAGTTATTTTAAAGTCCCATTTTATCAAGCTCGGTAACAGCAAACGGTCATTCCGAGCGATATTTAACATTCACACAGGAGCGAAAACCCGTTTTGCATTTATGTTACCAGCATTCCACAAAAATAGCGCACCAAGTCTAAGCAAGCCTTGACAAAGTAGCCCTGATTTCTAAACGCAGCAGCTCCTCGAGCGACCGTGCGGTTTATCCGCTCTGAAAAAAAAAATCATATGCCTCTTATTCAATGTTTTGACCGCGCAGAATGTCATTACCGGTTATCGCACGCATGTGTAAATGAGCCTTAGAACGTTTGCAGGCCTGGCACTGTTTATACCTTTCCAGTGGCTCAGAGTCAATAAACAAGGGGAATTCCCTGAATAATTGTCAATTGCCCACAAGTAGTCGCAAGTCACGAGCAATTATCTGTAGCACTAAACCATCACGTTGTGATTGGCCAACGCGTTGCAAACTCCGAGTGGAGGAGCACCATTGTGAGTCGCCCGTATTACAGTTCTACTTGAAAATCAAAGTTTGAAATGAAAAGCTGAAACATTACCGCAACGAGTTCAAACAGTGACATACAAATACACAAAATAGTCCATGGCCGATTATTTTGAATGGTGTTTAAGAACCTTTGTTTTTAGGTAGGATTTCGATCATTAGAAAAGGGCGCGAGGTTAATCATAGACTTGACTTCATCAGATTCAAATCTTGTAAAGGCTGGTCATTCCTGTAAAACGGCCTTGATTTATGAACGCTTTGATTCCATTTGTAAACTGTCTCTCTAGTGGACTTCAAGAGAGATTTATTCTGCAAAAGAAACAGACAGTTGAATATCACCCGGCAAGTTAACAACTTTGAGCGACTCACACAAGTTCTGTTGGCTTAGCCAAACCCAGATGTGACTTTGTAAATCTTGATAAAATGTCGAAAAACTGGACACAGTCCAGAACTGTGTCACATTTGTTGTCAAATCGAGAGGGAACCAAATTCTGTCTCTTAGTTCAGGATGCAAGTGAACACTGTAGGATTATACATAGACAGAAGTCCATTTGACAAACAAACCTCTATCACGGGGCGGCCATCTTGCTTTTCTACTTTCAAAGTAATGTAACCAAACTGAGGCTGGAAGGGGTAATAGTCTGTTCCCTTTTATTAGTATCTGAAGTTGAATTATTATTGCAGATGGGTATACAGGGGGCAGCAAAAGCATGGTAGCAACACGATAAAGGTCTATGGGGGATTTTTGAGCTGGATTGAAATAAATATGGGAGGTTTCTGGGTAAGACAGGAAACACACTTATGCCACCGACACCACTCTGCCAATATTAATATTGAAATGAACAAGATCAAATATTTAGTCTATAAACACTGAAATCATACATGTGCAGTTTCAAAAGCCCGAGACTGCAATAAAAAATGTGATGTAAATACTAAAATATTTATGTAATCACCAATCATTAATTGAGGCATAAATGAAACTGCACAGTGTCACATGAATACTAGTCTTCGATAGGAACTTTTAAAATTTTGAAAAGATTAAGCACACACACAAACAAGTGTAAATTTCAACAAACATACAAATGATATCAAATTCAAGATGCTGAACTATGTAAATAAGGCAACTATTGAAAGACTCTTTTAAAGGCAAGAAAAGGATAGAAATCTCTACTTCCGTTGTCTTCAGGCTTAGCCTGATTTTTTTTTTTCACTTTTACCTTTGGCTCAACACAAGTTCAGTTAAGGAGCAAAAACTACGCTTTTCTTTTAAACATAGCACCAATGTGTATGCTACCGACCCAAAGGTGGACCTTATTTCTGCATTCGAAATAACAACTTTGAAGGACACAACTCTGAGATTTCCCCAAACAATTAATTGACAACCCCGATGCTAACAAATTAGCTCAACAGAGCATTTCACTGTTCTCATTCACCCATACTAAAAATCTCTTTTTCCGCAGCTCTCATCGCGATTGCTCAAGTTTTCCCACGGCGTGGTGGGCCTCAAGTCAAGCCACGATCTTACCCTGAAGAGATCTATGTAATGTTGACATCACATTTTTGTTCACATGTATGCACTTTCCTATGGAGCGCGTGGAGGCCCACAGTCCAGGAAGGCAGAGATGTCATCAGTAGAGTGCAGTGCGCGATCACATGCATCTCATACACAAGGCGGCTAGGAAGGTCCGAGAGGCGAAGTGTACAGTACATGTACATAAAACTGTCACGCGCGACTTGCATTTCTCTCTGATTTCAGAAACATTTCACCGATTGAAAGACTCTGTAGGTCGAGAGTGGGTTTGGGTATTAAAACCACTTCGAAGCACCTACACTCTAAGGAAACTATCCGAACACTGCTTAGGAGATATCGCTTAATTACACACTAGAGGAACTTGAGGGCAAACAGTCCGAGGCAGAGTTTTAACACTGAAAGATACCCTCCGAATGGATTAGACAAAGTGTTGGGAAACGCTTGAAGGAACAAGTCATTTGCAGCTGTTCCTGGTAAATGTGTCATTAAAACCGTACGCAGCAAGAGAAAAACATTAAGCCTACACTATACGTTTCCCCTGGCAACAGAGAGACCGTTTCAGCCAAAAATCTGCTAGACGAGGTAGATATTGTGCTGAAATTCTAGCAGATTCGTAAAAGATATCTGCAGATTTTGGGGCATATCATAGAATTCTGGAATGCTTCCACAAGAATTCAGTGGCTTTCCTGTAGTCACCCAATATGGCTGCAATAGAGTCTTTGCATACTAGCCATCTTGCAGGGCAGTTCTTTCGTTCCTCAGGGAAACCTCCTTTGTACATACCCTGTGCAATAAAAGCACTGTCCTGCAAGATGGCAGCAATGCAAACCCTCAATAATGCAAGAAGCTGCCTGGATAATTCGGCAACGACAGCACCGTATTTCAGTGTGATTTAAAATGGCTTCTCTAGGTTTTCTAAAAGATTCTGATTATGAATTCGTTATGCAATGCAAGGTTATAGTCACAATGATTAAAGTTCTAATTTTACTTTTTTCAGAGCTACATTTCAGTATGTCAATATGATTACATAACCACTGAAAGGGAAAACAACCACAGTCAGGTTTGCAGGTTTCACAGATGTCACTGGCCAAGTCTGCACGTCATCATTTGCATTATTAATGAATAATTCATTAACCTTGCTAGAAGGAACTAATCCGAAGGCAGACCATGGATGAATTCAAGCTCGAAATATGTAAACAACGCAAAGCCGTTTAACAACTCCAAACTCAAATAACCCACTTGAGATGAAAACCGAGAATCCACCAGTCTGCGATTCTATGAGACGAAAATACTGTCGAGTGCTGAACATGTTTAGACCTGTTCCCCAGGGTAAGCTGTAGGATAACCAGCAGGGTACGTCGGTTGGCCGGCAGGGTACGCCGGTTGGCCGGCAGGGTACGCCGGTTGGCCGGCAGGGTACGCCGGTTGGCCGGCAGGGTACGCCGGTTGGATGGCAGGATAAGCCTGCTGACCGGCAGGGTAGGCCCCTGGTTGCCCATACGAAGCCGGTTGACTGGATTGACCGGTCGGTTGCATGGCTATAGGGGGTTGCTCCTGGGGCGTATTGGAAACGACCTGAGACGAGGCCTGCTGCAGTTGACGTTTGTTGGAGAAGTAGCGCCAGCAGAGGCGACCGACGAGGACACAGACCAGTACCCCGGCCCCGATGGCACCCAGGTGGATGACGGCAAGGATGCCGGCCTTATTACTCGCAGTGTTTTCGGTGTCAATGGTGCCATCTAGGAGGATGCACACAAGCATTCAGGTTTACACTCAACAAATAACAACCGCTATCATTTAGCATCCATTCGCTATTGAAAGAAAACTTTCACACTGCAAATACCCCAGCCAAAGATTTGAGGAAAGAAAAGGTGATTTCCTGACACCTGTTTTATTATAAACCTACAGATTAGTTCATGCTTTCAAATTTTCGAGGCGCAAAGTGTTGAAATTTTTATCAAACAAATACTGGTTATAATCCCCCGAAAAAGACCGCAGAAAAACACAGCGTGAATGATTCTGGTTTGAGTATCAAATCTTTCATTACTTTACAATAAGGACAAGTCTCTGTCATAAGAAACGTCTCAAAGTGTCGTCATTACTTACTGATGAAGAGGGTCTCATCACTGTTGTCACCACAGTTGTCATAATCATTGAATTTGAGGCTCGCATCAATGCATCGATAGTTGTCGCATTTGAATTCGTCTGCACCACAGCCCTCTGAAATTAGCGAAAGGCCTCGTGATATGAATAGCAGGTACTTAGCTGTGCGATGTTGAACGCGCTGGAGGAAATAGGGATGGGACATGTCTATGAAAAAAGTTGTAATGACTCAAAATCAATTACTCAACTTGAGTCCGATTCAAGTCGCAATTTGTGACGACTCGACTTGAGTTTCAATGAGTAAATGACCCTACACAAGTCACTGCGAGCAGATGACTCAACTTGAGTCCCTTATCAGAAGACCCGTCTCGAGTGAAAGTTAAGTAAATGAGAAAAAACAAACGTCTTTGCCAAAAATAAACATTTGCAACGACTTACAGAGCGGCTCTTTGCAATGACTTACAGAGCGGCTCTTTGCAATGACTTACAGAGCGGCTCTTTGCAATGACTTACAGAGCGGTTCTTTGCAATGACTTAAAGAGCGGCTTTTAATATTTTGGGAGGTAAAGCTTCAGCAGGCAAGTACAGTGGAAAACAACGAGGACTGAATGCAGGTCAAAATGTTCTTGTCATGTCTTATCATCAAAAGTAAGATGTGGTGTGACCACGTAGAAACCGAGGTAAAAATAATATAGAATGCCCCCAAATGACTTTCCCTTTGTTTTCACGTACCATATTGTGTTCGAATTGACTGGAGCTAAATACTTGATTCGACTCAATTTTTGGACTAATAACTCAACTTGACTATAGAGTGACTGTTTAAATGACAAGTCACTATGTTACAATGACGTCATTTGACTCAAGTCACAAAAATTAATGAGTGATTACAACTCTATAAGCTACAGACGTTAGCCACGGTTGCGACGGGCCTACAGATAAAGTAGCTAGAGCAGGGTCGAATAAATGGGCATTATTTTAAATGATTTCTGAAGTTGATTTGATTGGGATTTCGCTTGGATGGATCGGGGAAGCTTTGAAAATGATGATACACTAGGCTGTGATGGACGCAGGGATATGGAGATTCACGATTGCGCTGCGGACCCTCGTAATTTGCTCCGTTAATGATAAACTTACCGGAGGTAGGCGACTCGAAGGACGTGTAAGAGAGGACGAATCCTCTGCCTGTTCCAGATTTGTTGGTTTTGAATCTCAAAGTGACGGCATTTGTTCGAGAAACAATGCTCCTGGCAGAGGTGCCACAGATCAACCCGAGGTTTCGGGAAAGGAAATAATTCGACTTTCCCTCATAGACCCCCAGGTAGTCCTGTTTACATTTCGGTCTATCCTTGATGTCGACCCAGTCGAAGGTGAGTAGGATCCGTCGACTCGAGTCGGCGGTGATAATGAGCTTGCAGTCCATGTAGTTCCTATATTCGTGATCCCTCTGGGAGACCAGAATGCCTCCGGAACCGCCAACATCGATGGTTCCCCCGCAGTTTTGGTCCATGTATTCTGCAAAGTGTTTAAAGGGGACAGTAGAAAAACATGAAGAGAGAACATGACAAAGAACGGAGAATGAAACACTTTCTAAACGGTGCAGGGAACCCCAGTGACGGTGTCTGTGCGTATAACAAAGGCAAACCGTATCATTGTGAACACAGACCTGTAGCATGGGCATATAATGACGATCCTGTATATCATGCATGTTAAATAACAAACAACACGCTCAGAAGGTCAAGAAATCGTAATGATACACGCAGCTTTCGTACAGTGACTTTTTCTTTTTCACATTTTGTGTATCTTTGCATACTTCTTCAGTGTATGAAAAGTGTTTGAAATCCTTCTGTGCCCTTCTTGAGTACATGTACTGAAAAGGGGAGTTTTTGTTCAAGCATTGTTCAAACTTGCCCAGACAAGTGAGGGCGCTGTTGCCGTGACGTAATCAGGGAAGACGCTGTTCATTTCGCTCGTCGCAAGGCGCGCGCCCGAATAGGGAAGGGCTGATGAGGAAATAAGTCACACGGGGTCACAGATAACGACACGCAGAGCATTGTGGGTAAATTTTTGCCAGGCGCGCGAGCTCGCTCAATGCGTTACACAAGCGGCGGTTACCTCATTGCTGAGAATAATATTCTCTCTACACACTTTATTCGTTCATCCATAATTGATCAAGATAACCAATGATTTGAAAAATATCGCCAAAAGACACACGATCAGTGATACTTAGTGAAAAGATAAATTACCACACTGGGATTGTACCAAGGCCATGTTTTTATCATATAGACGACACTTTGCCTGTACCAAAGCATTGCCGTCGGCGAAACAACAAAATTCAATAACGCTTCGCTAACAGGAAGTGATAACTTCGTGCTCAAAGGTCGCGCACAATGTAGCCAATCGCAGTGCAACGCCATCAGCCCTTCCCAACGCCCTATTCGGACTGTTGGCTACGAGTGGATTCAGTTACATCGTTTCATGTCCAAGTTCTGAACCCTTAATGTGCTAAATGAAAACATTTCTAAGAAAAGGTTGCTCGCTAGCTTATACACTTACAAAGCAATAAGCTGTTAAATCAAGAAATGGAAATTTACAGCAGAAAAAATATTTAAAAATTCAAAATTTCTTGTGCACCGTAATATATCTATTTCGGGATGCATCAGTTTATTTGAATTAGCACGATCCCACACTTCTTGTTTGAGTTATGGTGCAGATGACGATCACAGAAGTGAGTCATCCGAGTATTTCGTTTTGCACGTCTGTAGCTCTGACACACTTCCTCCATTCTATGGAGACCATCAGCCTTTCTAAAAAGGGCGATGGGGACGAACGAGTGAATTGAGTGTCATGTCAAATTTAGTCCAGTTAATTTAACGATTTTCGTTGAAATCGGTTGGGCTAAAGTGTCTTGCAATCCACTGTTCTGCTGTGAAAACCTCAGAGCATCCTGTGTACGTAAATAAACCAAAGTTTACGGTAGTCTCGGTTCCAACAGCAAATGCTGAAGAATGAGCTATACAGCATTACAGGCCAGTCCGTTCATAAAAGTGGAATTTGGAAACTATTTTTATCTGCACAGCTCAGAATTAGTTTGGGGCTGATAATACGGCAAAAAAATTAATTTACACAATGCTATGCTGTACACATCTGTCATAAACTGGACAAAAATTACTAAAAAGGTGTACTAATCCACCGGAAATATAAAACAATTCAAGAAAAAACACATAAACCTTATATTTGCAATATAACAGTGCATACAAAACATGTAGGTGCTTGGAGTACAACCTCGAAGAAGTCCCCCTTCTGTCTTTGGGTTCTTCGTCTTTATGTTTCCCATGTTTTGCACAAGAAATGTTCTCTTGAAGCCAAAGACCATGCCTAATCTAGCACCCACAACCTGTCCCTTTCGTGCGATCCAGATCTGCGCGAAACAAACAGGAACCATGCAGGAACCAGTAAGTGCACTGTACAGAAGAGGGCACTTTTTAAACTTTTAAAGTTATCCAAGCTTGCTTGTTGCTGTTGCCGTCACATTATTCAGCCTGTCTTCATGTTCACTTGAAAAGTGTATTTGGTCTTTAAAACACTTTTGATGAAAGGTTTCTCGCTGGCTTATTGTGGATGCGATATACTTACACGACAAACTGTTAGCAAAATAATTGATTTTTAATTTCTTTTTTCAATTAGTGCACCATTGAGGTTACGTGCTTAGGACTGGCATCACAGTTTTGACCTTGAATTTGACCTTGAATATGCACATATCCACTATGTTAAAGACCAAACGAAAACTTCCAAAATACATATCGAACAAAACAAAAATTGAAAGTACAATTGTTCAAACATCATGGAGGAATAAGAAATGTTTAAGGTCTGCAGTGAAATAAATGTATTATGGTCCTTTCGTGAACAATATAAAAATATACTGGCAAATGTAGGCTATCTCCAAAGAGTAAATGGTAGAATTTTCCATCCATGTCTACGATGCTGTATATGCATTTAAATACACTGGCCGAACATAAAGATAGCTTACTATTAATTCTACTCACTGGGCTGAAAATAGCTCTTTTTTTAAAATCTGACTTAATAATTAATTCGTAATGGCTACAGAAACAAGACAGCTAGATCTCAAAAGAGAGCCATTTGTGTGTAAGGCTATATATTTCCCAACTCCCTAGATCATGATCTTCAAAGTTCAAATACACTGCATCAAGGTTGTATCACTGACAACGATTTTGCCATGAACGGCTCATTCAAGCAGTCACTCATAGTTTCGACAAAACGGAACATACCCGTTTCAGATAAAGAACGCGCGCTCATTTCAGAGCGGTGTATATGTAGCGCGCAATGAACCCCGCCCATGGACTATGCATGTCACACGCCAAATGCGCGCTCTGAGACCTGGAGGAGAACTGCTCAACTGCATTATGTGAGCCATGTTGCGGCTGAAGAACTGGGCTCTGCTTTCCGCTTCAACCCGGCCCTGGGATGGAATACAGGCACACAAGGGAGATCAAGCACTCCTACATTTCCTTACGTTAAATAAAATAATTAACAGAATTGAAGAAGGTGTCTGTCTCCTTACCGATGGCGTTCCCAGCTCTAACGAGCAGTATCAAAATTCCGACAGCACAAGTGATACCCGGATGAGAACACAGAGAAATCGCCATGTTGATAAATTATTTCCCTGATTCTAGACTTTCGAGACGAATTTTCTCGCTGAAGACACTCAGAACAAAGAGGTAGAACAAAGACACCGGGGCTGAAATTGTTAGAAATGTAGTACGCGCATGGGTGACCTTACGCTTTCGGTTTGTCGCTGTGTCGATCCAGCGAGTTCATGTTCACTGTTTTATAGACCGGAACATGGACGAGATTATAATCACATTATAATTATCCGCACGGTACCCAAGCTTTGCCTCCGATACTCTGTAAGCATAATAGCACACAGGTCGCGGAGGAATGTTCATGTATAGAATAATTGGTCAGCTGTCTGACCGGAACAAGAATTATTATAATTTCTGCTCACAGGCCATCGAGAACGGGTAATTGTGTGTTTGTAGTGGAAAACGAAATGATAGTGATGGATGACACTTTCTTTATCATCTGATAGGTGGAAAGGCTTGCGGTACGCAGTACCATGCGAAGGAATATATCTCTCTTATGAGTATGTGTGGTTCAGAAAAAGAGCAGGGAGTATACTCAGTGTCAGTCTCCTGACGACGGACACTGAGCACGCAGTCCGATTCGTTGAGTATACTCCCGGTTCTCTTTCTGAACCACACATACTCGTATAAATAAGAGAGATATATTCCTTCGCATGGTGCTACCACAAGCCTTTCCACCTGTTGCTGTCCTTCACCATGAATAGCCTGAAATCCCATCTGACTTTCTCCTTTTGACTTTGGGTGGACAGCTGAGGTATGTTGGGTGCACACGGACATCACCCAACGTAGAATGCAGACAGTTGTCATCAGATTCATCCATTCTTTCAAGTGACACAGTGCTCAGAGAAACTTCAGGTTAAGCTGTGTTTCAGCTTAACCTTAAGTATTGTTAAAACAACACTTTTAGTGTTATCAGAGGTCTACACCAAAATGTGTTACTTTAACACCGCTGATGTTATTTTTTACTCTTACAAGACTTGTTACAATGCACTAAAAATTTTAGCACATGGGAAAAGTATTGGAATGATCTTCTAACAGCACCGGATTTTTTTGCAGTGTGTAAAAAATAAAAAATAAAAAAATATGCAGCTTGGCCACCCGACTCCCCTCGGAAAAAATTTCTGAATCTGCCTCTGCTATCAAGGCGCGGTAGATCCGCTGCTAAATTGCATGTAACTTCGGACATCAGATTAGTTCGTTCAGCTAGCAGTCTGACCGCGGGAAATCTCAATCCCTTGTCTCTAGCTTTCACCTTCTTTCGCGATTATTGAAGTTTACCCATTCTCGGAATTGTACATGTACCTTCAGTGTTTTTGCTGCTCTCCATCTTGGGGAGAAATGGCGGAATTCGACGCTTACGAGGGGGAGAGCTTCCGCAATGTGGCTCAGGCAGGCTGTGGCATCATCATTAATTTTGCACAGCGCAAAGCGTGTGATCAGTGAACCGCATCCACACAGGCACTTTTGCCAACATTAAGGCCTGGTGCAAAATTCGCAGTAATCCTTTTCCGTTGGCATATGAGAGGATAAAAACTGCGGGTGCTGTTGAAAACTCTTTAATTTCCCGATGGGAAATCCGGGTAAAACTCGTAAGGGTAATTAATGTATTCAGTGCAGTGGCTAAGCTTTAATTTCCCTCTCTGATTAAGGTACCACAATCAATGATTCCCTTTGCTGCGCCTTGGCGTTTCCAAAATGTGAAAAAATAATATCAATTCGAAAATGTTTACGGCTATTAAATAAAGCAGATGACAAAATGAAACAAACAGAGGAAAGAACACGTCATTGGGTGTGCAGGTATTAAAACACTGCATGCTGGCATTGATGTAAAATACAATGGTGTAAAATTGAAAAGGGGGGTTAAGAGGGGAACAGAAAAATGCACAGAGACGTTCCACGCACGAAAATATGACTGGTGCCTTGCGGTGTTTACAGTTGTACGTTCTGTGTCTAAACTAGGCTGGTTTACTGCATGTAACGCCCGGAAATCATCATGTTCGTCGTCTGGATGAGTTTCAAGGTCCAATGATACAAGAAGACGGATATCTGGCGGAAACTAGTCCGTCGTCGAGAACTGATCGGCATAACACCGGAGGAATAAATCTAGGAATTATCTACCCCCATTGTTTACCTTTTTTCTCAGAGCAAGGGGTCGAATATTGCATAGGCCTATTTCATCATTAGTTCTAATGCATTCATCCCTTTAAATGTAAATGGATCCATGCGACAAGGCAGTACTATATTTAAAAAAAATCAGTGTTACCACTATTCGGTATTCCACAAATTCTATTCCATAGAACCACTAAGTATGTCGCTGGGCAGAACTTAACGCTCTGTTTTCTAAACGCAGCCGTGCATCGGCTTTGACATAACTTCAAGTTAGCCATAGCTGTTCGACGAATGCTCATTGCTTGTCGTCAGCTGGGGGTCAGGTTTACGGTGAAATTGATTGCGTCATAGGTTCCTTAGAAACGATTCATTTTGGCGTCTTCCACTGTATAGTGGGGGTAGTCCGTAGAAACCATGAATGATTTAATTGAATGCGTGCCTTCATATAGCCATTATTCTGAAGTGATTGAATCTGATGTGATGTATTTACAGAGGAAGTTTTTGAAATGCGAAGAAAATAGAAGAAAATTCAAGGTGGAAATTTAGATTTTTTTCTCTCTCAAAAATTATCCCTCTTGTTTGAATGTCGTGCTGGCCTTGCTGCGTGTCAACAACATATCCAAGATGGCGTCTTACACTTACCTACAGAGTGTGTGATTTTCCTGCTTTTGTAAAAATGATCGACTTCAAAGTCTCAAAACATCAGGAATGATCAAGTTTGGGTTTTCTGAGGTTTATTGTACTGAATATTGCGAGGTAATGTATAGCCTTAATATTGAAACGGCGTTTCATATACTTGAATTTGAGAGTGGTGGTTGTTCGATGTTCGTTGTGGTATGGTGGTGGGAGGTTAGTTGGGCCTTTACCTCCTCCTCGTTCGACGTTCGTCATTCAATGTTGGACAAATTACCGTTTGATATTTCAACGTTGAATAAGTAACCGTTTGACATTCTAGATGCACATCCTTAAAAGTGATGGAGTGCAAAAGGGATAAAAACAAACTATACCTACAGCATTTCAGGGTTTGTTTGACCCCAAAAATCCCCATCATGCCCCGGGTTGCAAGGAGTCGTCTGCGATTGAGGAAAAGAACACATCAGATTCAGTGTAATCTCTAGGCGGAGCATGGGGTTTGGGTATTTGATTTTGATTGGAGAAAAGTATGGTGCGATGTATTCACTTTTCCACTCTGGTTTGCAAGTGAAGAACTCCACCAACAAGACAAGTTAATTTCATCAAAGCTATTTTGACCATGGAAATCTGCCATTGCCCGGTTGAAATGGAGGCAACGAGGTTGCTAAAGTTACAGAAGCACTCTAAAAAAAAAACAAGTTTAGAGCTGGGGGCGTGGGATTGATATCTTTTCGATGGACTGAAATAGTTTTAGTGAAATGGCAAGTATATAAATAATAAAAAAACTGTTTTATTTCCTCAAATAATTATACTGCCGTAAAAAACCATTGCCTACATTTCATGGCTTGTTTGATCCCGAAGAACCCGTACGCTAGGTTCCCTCTACGGGAGACAGTTGCTTGTGTATACACGTACATCATTGTAAAATGGCATGTAGAATGTAAATTGGGTACATTTAATAATCATATACCTAATGGAACTCTTTCTGGCAGTTGTGTTTAGAAAAGCAGGGCACCACCGTCGGATAATGGTGAGACTGTCTTTTTGATTCTGAAAAGGTTTAGAAGAACCTGCCACCTCAGAGAATATTCTCAAAATTACATTTTATAGGCCTACAGACCGTGGCGGAACTAAGCAGAGAGAACTTGGCAATCAGTATGAAGGTGGTGCTTCTACTGGTCAGCTTCTGTCTTCTGATTGGGCGATATGAGTGTGCCCTGCCCATCGGTAAGTGAAGTGCCTATTAATCATGATCATAGTACTTGGCCACTGTATGGGATTAGTTGCACATGGTACCATGTTTATCACCTGGACGCATGCATCACTGCAATGCTCATACCATTGCCGCATTCCTTCTACAGTGACAGCATTTGCCCACACTGACGTTTGTCATTGAGTTGAATGTTTAGACTCGAGTCAAGTTATTTAGCCATTGTGACTTGAGTCGAGTCATATTATTAAAAAACTGTTACTCATTTATGGTCATTAAAAATTTGTCATTCACAAACATGCCTTCCGCTTTGGCTTTCAATGAAAGTGCAAACTGAGCCCATTTATCAAGTGAAAGATAAAAGCATTTTACAAGTTGTGGTATTTGTTATGAAGTGCAGGAGAACTCGCACGTGGACATCTCTACTTGGTCCCTGCAGTGGCATATCAGCCATAAGAAAGCAATAAATGGCCCTTGAAAGACTAATTTACTAGGAATTTTTTTTAACCGGGCTCACGCACACACCCAACACAAACGCAAAGACTATACATTCAAACAGAAATTTGTCCCAAGTGTTCAGGGAATCCTGCACCAAATGCGTAAAGCCTGTGCAGGCTCATGATGAGTTTACACCAAAGGACCATCGTCTCTGAGCAAAAATTCCCTCCCTTGTTCCTTGCTCTTCCGCACTCCAGTGCACCTGGCCGACAGCTGCAACAGCACAGTGCAGGCCAGCAACGGTGGCTTCATCGAGCCGGACAAACGCCTGCTGTACAACAGCAACCTGGACTGCACCGTGGTGCTGACTGCCGAGCAGGGCAGCCGCTTCCTGCTGCGCTTCTACCGCTTCAACCTGGAGGAGCCAGTCGGCGGCAGCTGCGTGGACCACCTGACCATTTACGACGGACTGGATAGGCTCAGCCCGCTGTCCGGGGCCCTCTGTGGCCGGACCAAGGTGGACGACATTGTATCAAGCAGCAACAGTATCACCTTGGACTTTGTGACAGACGAAGACGGGAGCACAAACGGTTTTGAGATATTCTACTCAATTTTCACTGATGGTAAGTTGAAAATCAATATGCCTTGAAATCTAAAAAGCTCAAACTTTAATATTACCTAGCTGCCTAGAAAACTTAGCAGAGAATATTCAGATATAAGAAGGTTCAAAATTCAAGTTAAAATTACAGTCAAGCAGTTTAAAAGTAAGACCTTTGTCTCTGCTTAATTATCTTAGCCTGTTACATATATTATCATTAATTATTTCTGGTAATGACACTAAAGATTCTTCAAAAAGTGCCCTAGGCACTGCAGCTCGCGAGCCTCAAGAAACCTGTAAAGAGGAGTCAATGAGAAGCAGTCACAGTTTCAGAGGTTCAGAGGTGGGAGGAAAACCCCAGAAGGCTTTGTCAGGCATGCCAGTCGCACAAGGCAGGCTGCAGCTGTGTATTTAGGACTAATGGATTCAATCTTGTGTGATCCCCTCTTGTAGCTCCTTGCACTATTGATCAGTTTGCCTGCAGCAACAGCAGGTGCATTGACGCTGCATTGAAGTGTGACAGCTACAACATGTGCGGTGACAACAGCGACGAGACAGACTGTGACGGTAAGGGAGTGTTTCCTGACTCGGAACATTTCTGCTCCTTTTTGAAACTCTGTATTTCCTCCGTTGAAGTACGCAATTCACAGGCAACAGTTTTATTCAGATCAGTTTTCTGCCAGAGCAGTTGATTTTTCTGTGTTTTTAATTTTTCTCCCCAAAGTTTGGGAATAATTGGAAAATTCGACATCGTGCAGCTCCAAATGTGCCCATCTGAAATTGAACCCTGCCTGACTTGTACGTATGGATCAGCCCAGGTTCACATGCTGACTTTGTTTCTATTCAAAACTTAAAACCGTGTCTGATCGAACTCGAGGCAAAAAGCACTGAGATAGAAATTTAATCAGCAACTGGAATTTATTTGCCCTGAACTTGGCCTGGAAATATCATGGGTGAAACTTTCTGTTGTTGAATTATCCAAGTGTGATGTTATTTCAACTGGAAGTATGTTGTGGCGCCCTCTGCTGTTCAGTCATAGCCACCTCGAGTGTGCCACGCTTTGTAAGTTAAAATCAACATGAAGCAAATTATAAAGGAACATAAAGGTATTGTGGGATCGCATTTCTGACCATTTCTTACCTTTTTGATGTCATTTATCATCATGCTCTAGTTCATTTATCATCATGCTCTAGTTCAATCCCTGCAAAATATTTTCACTTAAACAAAAGCTCTGACGTAAGTAAATGATATCTTGCGACAACCATACAAGCAGTGCCTGCAGGTGATGATTAGAGTTGTTCTAAAAATATACATTTATTACGACTAAAGATCACATCTGTGATACCCAATATTTCAAGTATCAAGAGGTCATTCTTTTTTTAAGTGGTAGAGAGTGTTGAGTGAAGAGTTATTCCATACCAAAAGACAAAGTATTCCTATGTACTTATTTCACTTTGTTATGTGCAAGATTGAGATTAAGGACAATACCGGTTATAGAATTTATGGAAGTATCTAAGGCCAATTTCAAAAACTGTCTGTATTTAAAAATAAATTCAGTTTTGTTTTGCACAGTGGTTTGTTATTTGTTTAAAGTGTGGAACAGTGCATGTTTTGCCTTTGACTGTTTGGACAAATTCCTCTGCTATCTGCAGATGTTGTGGCCGAGGACACTGGTTTGAGTGCGGCCGCCATTGCAGGTATTGTAGCTGGTTCCCTGTGTCTCATTCTCCTCATCATGGGGGTGATCCGGGCAATCATACACAAGTACCAGTCAAACCAACTGCTCAAGCAGCTGATGGACGAGATGAGCAAACAGCCCACGTCCAACGAGTACTCGGACAAGGACTTCTGGGGAGACAGCAAGCCCATTGACCAGTAGGGTAGGCACCAGCCAAACATTTACAACCTCCGAACCTAGTAGCACATAGATGAGGATTTTTGGAGGCATTAAAAATCCACTTGGGGACCAGGATAGAAAGACCTTGCAATAGATTGGTTCTGTATATGTCTTCTGGGTGTCCTCAGAAGCTCATTGTACTTTGACAGGAATCTTTTTGAAGACCTTGACAATGCCTGTTTGGGACAAGGATAAAATAGACCTTACAATGCATCTGTTCTGTAGACATTCCAACCAGGATGTCCCCCAAACCCAGGAGCACTAAAGCGAGGAGTCAATTTAGACATTTAGAGTCCAGTTAAATACATGTACTGATAAAGGCCTTGCTGTGCAGTGGTACGGGAGACGTCTCCACGTTCCCAAATGAATGTCTACAGAACCTAGGAATACTTACAGAGGACCAAATGCGCTATCTCTTTTTTACTATTCAAGCTATCAAAGTTAGGTTTTAGTTAGTAATTTCTGTGCAGTTACAACAGTAATTTTGTATGTAGCATAATGACAATATGGTGCCATTAACAGCTTGGTTGCTGGATATGGGCAAGGTATAAGTACATCAACCATTTTAATGTGTATGTTTTGTATACAAGTCACGGCACTTTGGCGGGGGAGTTTTGAAAATAGGACGACTCACTGAGGACATTGTAAATTCATGTCTATGTGTGATTAAAAGTGTTTGGATTGGCCTTCACCAAGTTAAAGGGACAGTTTCTTTTGTTAGGCCAAAATAAGACTGACATGTGGGGACATTTCTCTGTCCACATAACGTCTTCGATCGCTACAGAACAGGTGAAATATCGTGGGTATGTCCCCACAGCTACGGAACCAGAATGGGTTTACTTTTTTGTTTTGAATGTTTACATGGAACACTGTTCAAATCAATCGTCCAATAAGCACTCTTATGTTGTTGACTGAGCCATGTTGTTGGAAGATCGGGTCATTCATGTAAGGCTGTATAAATGTAGCCTGACCAGACATTGGTGTGTTTTGTGAAGTGGTGAATTTTTTGCCTGACATGAAAAAGACGTTTGAAAACTCACCAACACAGCAAAAAAGAAAGGACTGTGTGCGGGAGCATGGGTACCGTGAGACATGGTCGTGAAATGTCCAGAACGTTACCAGGCTGTGTGTTCTTTTGCCTGCGTGCCATGTTCATGTAGTTGAAATTACATCCTTGACATTTTATAATTAATTGGGTTGTGGTCTTGGCTGACTCGGGACATCCGTCAGCAGGAATGGTAAAGACAACAGATGTTGTCTGATCGTCTGGTAATAGTTCATTCATACCATATGATACAAATCAAATGCCGCAGCTTCATTCCCAATAACCCTAGCCCCATACGGAGTGAAGCCAGAAATACCAAATACACAACAAAACAGAAATATGCAAAGGGGGGGGTGGACCGAAAACAAACAAAAAATTCAGTGAATCTCAATATAAAAGAAAACACGATTAAAAAAAGTCCCAAGTCACAAACCTCATGAGAAATGATGCAGTCTTCTCCACCGCACCCTTCTTTCTTTTCTATTTTTTGCGCTCCGGGATCCCAGATAAATAAACATGACGGTTTAGACTTGATATATGCCGTCACGCTTGGCCGGTCTCGTCACGTGGAACACATTATACGCATGTGTGCAAAATACAGGGCAGCGTTGCAGGCAGAATCTGGGCCAGGCGAAATGGACAAACCATGCGAGCTGGGATAGAAATAATGATTTTCAGCTCTTCTGACAACACCTCCCTCCCCCCTCTTTTTTTTTTAAACCCATTCTTCACACCGGATCGGCAAGGTACCCCGGCCCCATGGGATACATCAGACACAAATCGCACATTAAAGAAGAGACAAATTAGTTTCACATGCTCAATGAATAGCTCTGGTCGGTCCAGGTATTTAATTTTCTTTCCGATTTGAACATCTGTTGCAATGTCTCATATTTATTGGATGCTGGATGCCCGCTGCCATTTACAATTTCACAGTTTGCCTGTCTACATATTGACGCAGCGATGTATGTACATAATACTTCACCTTTGGACGTCTGTCCTACTTTCTGGAACTAAAGCCGATCGCCGAAGCTGGGCCTGCCCACACGCCAAGTATAATGATAACACAACTGAAACTCAAGTTTCCCTCAAAAAGCTACACTTCAGCTAGAAAATGGCATTTCATGCTCCGTGTACGTATCAACACATGTCAACAGAATTCATTATCTTCCGCCGTGCTGAGCAGAAAGGGTTTTAAACGCTTATCCTCATATAAATTCAACAACTGAAGCATTTTACCCGAAACAGGAATGTTTATCCAAGCTCCAGACATGTTAATGTTTAACTGCATTTCTTTCACAACCCGTTATTGAGGAAACTTGTTCAGAATATTTTGTGCACGTTGCGTTTCCCAGGCAAATGGAATATACTGGGTTTTACACCTTGCTTTTTTATCTACAAAATGAAATACCCAACCTATTTTTCTTTGAAATGTAACCTCACAAGAAATGTTAGAGTGTAGGTATTACAGTCTGTGCCAACAGCCTACGTGTCCACAGCTTAATTTGGCCATTTAGAGACACTGGGACACAATCAATACACATGGTATTCAAACTAAACACATGGTATTTTAACTAAACGTTGAACAAAAAAGCCTGTAAAAGTATAGGAAATAGCGGGTTGTTAATGAGGGTTAGAACATGACACGGTTAATGGTGCCGTCAGTGGCATAAATGTGTGCCGGAAATTGGGGGATGGGGATTTGTGTGTACCCCCACCTATCCCGGGATTTACGCCCGTGGCTGACGTTTTTACATCATGTGTGGAGCCGGCCTCGGATCTTAAATAGGAAATGTGATTTTATCTGTAAATATCGGTTCCAAAAGAAATTGTGTATTTGATTGGCGGGTGTTTGTACCAGCTGTAGATTTTGTTTCGATAAAAAGATGTTTGATTGTGACAAGAAAACTGTGTTCTTTTTTTAGAAGAAATATGTACGAAACTGCTTTCTGTCAGAGACAGCCAGCCATTTGGTGGCCTTTACATTCCAACTGAAAGGTTATTTAGGTTTTCTCAAAATTTGAAACAAATTTGTAATTTATTCTACACAGCTATGGTGTTTCAACCGTGTATACGTTACCTTCCAGTCCTTTGTTATCAGTTTGTAAGCATTTTCGAAAAAAAAAATCCGTCCATTTGTGAAAACGTGCAAAATGTAATCATTGCGAATTGTTCAAGTTCTGTCCGAATAGGACTAATAATTCTTGTAGTTCTTCAATCCGTAAGTCTTTTCTACTGTGTATTGTACAATTTTGATTTAAAAAAATTATGAAGGCAAACTGTGAATTTAGGAAGCATTTGTAACCTTTATTTATTAAAGCGGTGGACTCGGTGTTTTCATGGAAAAAATCATGTTTGGTGAGCTTGTTTGATTTGCTCGGTCAGTGTGAAGAAAAACCGAATTCGGATTTTTTTTTAATTTTATTTATCTACTCTCTCGGACGTGTCCCCCGTCTCCCCCTGTATTCCAATTAGCTAGTTCCCTCTCCGACGGCATGCCCTTATCGTCGTGTCCCCCTCCTGGCCCCTGGTGTCCCGTCTGGTTCCCATTATTCCCTCCACACGGACAACAGAGGTAACTGATACCCACTGCAGCAGCTCCTCTTGGTCTCCTGTTCCGCTTCCCGCCATAGGCACCAGACTGCCCCGGGCTACCAGCTGGCTCAGAGTGGCCTCCTGCATCAACAGTTGTCGCAGCCTTAGACCCGTTGCCACGGCAACACCCGCCAAAACTTCCCGGCGGGCGGGTCGGGCAACAACAGGAGCTGGAGGGGGCGCACCGTCCCGACTTTGCGCACGCGCGACAGGCGCAATCTCGGCAACAACCCCTGCAACAGTCCCGGAAGCAGCCGCCGAGGAGATTGCGACAGCAGGCAAGGCGCCAGGGGATGTAACCCGGTCGCCAGCACAGCCAGTAGAGCACAAATGCAGCGAAGAGTGCCCCCGCCACAGCCAGGAGAACGTCCCAGGGAAAGTCGACAGGTTCGACAACGGTTGTCACTGTCGATTGAACAAAAGGCCAAATGATTTCAGACTGTGAACCATGTGAGGTACGAAAGCTGAAGAGTATAATGGACGCAACCAACCGTCCGGAAGAACTCTCAGCCGTTTGCTGTTAATGCTGTGTCCGGCTATAGGAATAACACTCGTGTGCCAATGATTTGACTGCATCAACTTACAGCTGCAGCCACTATAGACGTTTGTCTTACTGCTGGCCACATCTTTCAAACACGACGTAGGCTCCTTTAAGTTTGAAAATTGAAATCTCACAAAAGCAGCTGTTTTCTCATTGTTTTGTGCGTATAGTATCTTTGGATCTAGTTTTTAAAAAAGAACTTACGGCTGCAGTTGGCCGGTGGCGAAGGCCGCTGGTCCGTGTTGTCCCCACAATTGTCGGCGATGTCACAGCGGACGCTTCTCGGTACACACCGCCCGTTATGACACTTCAACTCGGTCACCTCATCGGTACACGGTCCTGCAGAAACACGACCGTGAGCAATTAAATACAATGTTTTTAAACCGTAGACACTCTCGTAAGTGAACACGTTTTTTTTAAGGTACGGACCTATATAGGCCAAATAAATAAACAGTTCTCGATTCTCCAACATAATTAAATGTAGGCCTATGTTGAGAGTTTTACAATGTGGAATGCATGTACATTGTATTGTAGGGTTTTGTATCTTCCTCTTAAAAACGATTCAAATTCGCTGTATTACGTTCGTTCTGGGGGGGGGGGCGGGGGGAAATCTGCTAGTGAGTTTTCAGCCATTGACCGCATAAGTTTATTTAGGCCTACATAGGCCTACCTATTTGTATTTCAGTCCAGTTCACGCGTCAACCACCCAAAAAGTGCTGGGTTTATACTTTAAGACGTTTAGTGCTCGTGTTTATGGGATTCGGCTTGCAACTAAGCTAACGTTTCTGGGTTCCCTAGCCACTTCCCTCTAGCAATGCACCCCCTCAATGGGTGAGTAATGCTTAGTAAGTGCTACAGATCTTGTCTAGGCCTTATTTCCAACTGGAGTCCCTGTAGTGATGGCTTGTTTGTGTCATGTCCTCATCCACGGCTTAGCCATATAATGCAGCATGTTTGTGGAAACACTTGGGGAAGAAAGCACGTCGGCTTTCCCCCCGAGGAATTCGACCCTCGCATGAGGGGGCTACAGTGAGTGGAGTGGTATGGTGTTAAATTTAACCTGCATCAAAAGAGGTGGTAACCATGGTAACATTGACCGTAGCCGTTGGGTGCACGGTCAGCCGGACGGTGAGGAACTGGGTCTGGGACTCGACCACGTTGGACGGGAGGCCCAGCATGGACTGGGTGGTGCCGCAGACTGTCACGAGGTGGTTGACGTCATTGATGACGTCACCGTCCCATATTTGGAGATAGGAGCTGTTGCAGCCGGAGGGGCTGAAGAGGTCTGGCTGAGTGGAATTGGTAGCGTTGGCCGACGGTGTTGTGGGGATAACTATTGCTTCATCTACGAGAGAGAGAAAGTACTATGGTCGGTGAGGCGTGATCAGTTTATTCTGGTGCTGAAATTGCGCTCTGCGTTTTCACAATTGGTTCTGTGACATTTTGCACTAGAATTTTCGTTAAGCTTTGCTCACCCACTCATTTCCCTTCGACTAAAATGTCTGATGATATCTCTGACTATAGTTTCTCTGCAAGCTTTCGTAAACTTGTTGCTCTTGTTAAAACTTATGATGGTTGTAACTTTATAGTGGGCCAGGGTTTGTACGATGGTAGTACATAATACATCACAGCTATACGTGCGCGTTGGTGCGTGCATGCGCTGGCATCACTCGGCGACATTCTGGATTCACGCTGGATCAGACGGTTACGAAAACCAAAGCCCCGGGCGCCGCGGCATGCAGGAAGATATGGCGCTGTCTATTTATAGAAAGCGAACTGGAGTGAGCGGCGATGACTTCCATTAAAGCCCTTGTTTGCGGAGTGGGTGAGAAGAAATCATTCCTGTTTGAGTACGAGGAGAATAAAATGGAGAGACGAGATACCGCCCACACGGCCGACGTGCCTTGGTGGCAGAGATGCAAGAGAAAAGTGATGTCTGCTGGCTGGGATGTGAACCCACTTGACTTGGGGAGTTGGAGTGTGCTGCCGCTTAAATTGGAATTCATCAACCCCACCATGTGACCCGCAGTTCCATCTTGTGTTTACGTCACTCAAGGACACAGGCGTCGCGAAGGAGTGCCACAAAAGGGGGACGCTGGCCCTTCCCGCTCAGTGAAAAAAGGGAACTTTGATATAAGGGGGAGAAGAAAAAGCAGAAAGACAGGATATTGGACGAAAATGGCCGGATATACCTTGGAATCGACTCCGTTCTACCCTAGTTCCTCTACCCCCCCCGGAAAAAATTCCGGCGACGCCCATGTTCCAGAGTATCCTATGCTGTGACACATACACCTTCCAAAATAACTTTGGGTGTGGTTTTCCTTTAATTTCGGAACTTCAGCGGTTCATGTTACCCTTGAAAAATTACTGGAGAGTATACGCTTCGTAAGGACGAACTAGTTCACTGTACTGTCATCACTTTAAGCACACGCACCTTGTAAGATGAAGTACTCCTCGAAAGAGACCGCGAAAGCCTGGCTCGTTTTCAAGGCTTGCAGTACGAATGTGCACTCCGGCCGCAGGAGGTCCCCGGTTGTTGCATCTTCGAGGTTGTCATGTGAACGCAACCTCCAGGCGTCCTTCTTGTCGACGCGGTGGCCGCACAATCCTTGCATGCTGACTGCGTGACAACCATTATTGAGGTTAAATAAATCACGTTTGGTTTCAGACAGTGATGAGGAGAGGCAGTTTTTTTTTTGTGAATTTGATAAGCACTCAACTTTCAGTATTCCACTTGGGGATCCATTAAGTGTCAGGTTCTGCTTGTCACACATTTCCAGCAATGCTATACTGGTTAGTTGGGTACACTATAATTTGCAATGATGAATGGTACTACCCAATTGAAACCCTGTTTATCATTACACATAACTGTTTGGTTTTAAAGCACACTTTGTTTTGTGTTGTTATTTTTAACGACTCTGCACAAGTTATTATCTAAAGCAAACCTTTAAAGTGTAATTTGGAAGCCGGCTATAGTCTTTCACGACCCTTGATTTGTAAATGATTTTTTTCTATTTGCTGTTAGAAATTCTTGTCAACATGTCAAAATGTCCTGGCATATGCCTTGACTTTTTGGGGCGTTTTTTTTATTCAGTCTTTTTTTTTTTAAATTAGCAATGCAATTAAAAAATTCAATGTATTATCTTCCTGATACATCTTTTTTCCCCTGGACCAACAACACACGGCGTCTTGATTTCTCCCCACCTGCGACTCTAGATTCATATCCGGTGCTGTCAGCTCGCTGCGATTAAGCAGCTTCTTAATGCATGTATTCCAAAGGGGGAAAAAAGAGATAAAAAATACACCTCTTTAGCTGGTGTGAGACAGGGTGCCTACCTGCAGAGCTTTATTATATCCGCCGTCTCCAAGGTCGCTTGTAATTCACTCTCCAAGATGAGACGGTATACGGGGTAAATAATTTGAGGACATTACGCCAACGCGACATACAGCTCGCGACAGGGCCTTAACCCCATTAATGGAGTTTATTGATAATTGTAGACAACAAATTTTCAAATTAATTCAATGCTGTCGCGCAAGATCTGATGATAAATCTTACTCATATAAACTCTATATTTGCTACTATTTTAAGAACCTTCCGATAAGCTGTTCGTTTAGTAATATTCAAATTGGTAAGCCAATTTCGTGGAGATGTGTGAAACACATTTTGCACAGCTAAGAAACGAAATATAATTTGCTCTTGGATTAACTTTGCTCTTTTGAACTTACCGTGCATTCAAGTATCGATAGATTTTTAGGAAATAAGGTTACTTTTAGGAAATAAGTCGTTCATTGACATTTTGCTGGGTTGCCTAAAAAGTGCTCCAACCTTCTTCCTCCCAATGCCTGGATAAATCACTTCTTAGAGTACCTACTTACCAGTTTGTGTACTTGCACCAAGTCCATCGAGCAGCGTCGCTAAGAGCAAGATGACCAATTTTGCGTGTGATGTCTTCATGCCGACGGATTTTCTCGACTTCACTTTTTTTTTGGGGGGGGGGAAATCTCTGTACACTCAATTTACTGCTTTTTTCACAGCGACTAATTTGCCTTTAATCTACGCCTCCCCGCTGTCCTTATAGATGCAAAGCAATGTTGTCGTTTGCCAGGCCTCATGAAACACTCAAAATATTTGGGTCGTGAAGTTTTCGCCCAGTGCTCTTGATTTTGTCGATTCGCTGTACCGCTTTGTTAGCACAGAGTCAATATATTCTACCCACGGGGTACATTCCGCCAAGTCAGGAAGGCGATCACTATAGGAACATGCAGCGTGTTAAACATCTTTTACTTTTCAAAATGTCGATGTTTGCATTGTTGATTTTGACCGACGTTTAACAAAGTGCTGTTCTGTGGAATAATTAAAACAAGGCGGGAGATTTCAACAGAATGCCAAACTTACAAACATACATGCATGTTCGTTAGAATTAGTTGCACATAAATTCAGTTGGGCAACAATTTTTGGAGCGAAGAGAACGGCGCCATCTTTGAAAGTACAACCACTGTGGTGGGAATTCACCTGCAAAACAGTTCATATTATACCACCATTACTCATCTGCCTATGATGCATTAATGTGATCGCATATTTTATTCAGGGCTACTGCATGCAATATTCAACACTGATATGTAATTATGAATTCGTGATAATGAAATAATGATCGTGATCATTTGAGAAAAAGTGATACTGAGTAGTTCTTTATTACACTCCTGAATGGCTTCCATTTCATTATATAAACATACATCTCACAGGGTTTAAGGTTTAAAGGTTTGCGCGAGTGTCACTGATGTGCTTAAGAATTAGAGACACTAATTTCATCACGTGCAACCACTGAATAAGTACAACATTGATGTGCTTGCTTGCTTGCTTGCGTCCGGCAAGCTAACATGAGCAGTATTTATCGCCTCACAGTGTCCATGTCAGAGGTTGTCTGTGTAAAATCTTGTTATGAACAGGAAATCACGTCCAAAATGAGGAAGATTGATTTATCCTTTTAAAACAAAGTGGAAAATCCGTGTTACCTTTTATGACATCAATAACCCTATTTAGTGGAACCCCAAACTTACTAAGCTCGCCAAGTAATGAAACGATAACGTATATACAATTTACTGTGCAACTTTGTAGTGATGAACGCGTGCTTGTGAGAACGTTGGGTTAAATTATTTGTAACGACTGTACAGTGTGGCAAGTATATTTGTCCAACGCGCCGCAAATTATGCGTGTGTAAGCCCGTTTTTGTGATTAAATTATACATTCTATTGGCATCCGTGGAACTGCACGAAGGTATTAAATATAGCAACGCTGAGGAGACCCGTGCAGCAATGGGAGAGCCCGTGGCGGAAAAAATCGAAGAAAATTCCGCGCAGAAATCGCTTTGCAGTGCCCCCCGGGCTAGCTCCGTAGACAGGGCGAGCGGTTTTTGTTCTTGTTTTCTCCCTTCCCAAAAATTGTCATTTGTTATTCGAACAGGAAAATCTCCCTCGTTCGATTGAAACATCGAACGTTCGGCGAATTCGGGGCGCAATGGCGTTGTTGTTGCTCTACTAGTGGTTGGGGACGAGGAGCATTCGGCACGAACGGGACAGTCCCTGGTTATATCAAAAACCCGTCGTGTGGGGTACACGCGCGTCTTCTTTTCCGCTTGTGGGATAGCGAGCAATTTTATCCAGCGTCAAATCTGTTGGTCCACTGCATAGGATCTCCGGACTACACCCATAGACTTCGCTTATTTTATGCGTACATCGAAAAATCGTAGCGGACAAGGCCAGCAGTTTGATCATTTTTCTGCCTGCTAAACTCGCTCGGGCCCTTATTATGCCCGTACTCTTTTATGTGAGTATGTGTGATAGAGAGGCAGAGACGTGCACGGGCTTTTGTGCCCAATTGTAACCGATCCCTTCCAGGAAATAAGACAAAACACGACCACAGGAAGTGGCCCCTCCAAGAACGCGAGGGCGAGTTTGTCTGTCTCCCCCCGGGGAGGGTGCTCGCACCGAGCCCGTGCGCAGAGAGAAGCCTTCTCTTCCCTGCTTGCTTCGATCTCCTCGGCTGAATGTTCATCTTCCCCCCCCCACCTCGCCTCGGGCGAGAAATGGGAAAGGATGCCTTGGCGAGCGAGACGAATACGACAAGAGGTTAGGATTTGTCCGTCTGCCATAGGGGATGTAATATTAAAGCCGTGATTCGAGTACACCCAGTAACACCGTCGGAATTTCTGCTGTCTGAAACCGCGTCTATCGGAAGGTGATCAAATTATATCCTCGAAAGAAAAATTCTTAAAAATTATCCCACACCGCAAAAACGGGGATGTTAATTTAACACCCTGGGTGTTGTCAGAGTCTTCTACACTGAGTAAGCAACACGTTTTTGTAGTGCATAAATCAAATCTTGCTTTTCGAGTTTTTCTGAGAATGCATGGAATTAATCACTCCTTTTAAAAACAGAGATTGAGATAGTTTGGCCCTATCGCTGGAACCGGCAGTAGAACTGAAGACTAGAATTTAATAATCAGTAGGGCCTACCTGTATGTTGAGTGTAAATTACTTTAAAGGTCTTAATTATAAGATTTTGGCTTTTAAAAGCGCTTAGAGCGGATAACAATTGAATTGCACACTTCGTTCCTTTGAAACATAACGAATTAATGGAGAGGTTCGCGCAAGCGATGGGTGCCATGCATATTGAGAAAAGATAGTCTGGTTTCCATCTTTGCCGAACACTTTGCCGGAGTCACTTGGTGAAAAACCCGCTCAACATGGCGGCCGCCATTTCTCGCACCTAAACAGCACTCCTGTCATTGTGTGAATAAAATGGCTCAGCCGGACTTGACTTCTTTGTCAGCCCGTACACTGATAATGACTTCCATTTCGTGAATCTGTTTGTGAATCACACACACAAAAATGGAGGTCAATATTTTCATTACAGGTGAGAGGGAAGCCAATTTTTCTGCAGGCTCGCTGCATTTAATATCGCATTAGCCGAGTGCTGGCTCATCGCGTCCGATTGGATTCAAGCTCTTGAACCGTTTTGGAATTAATTCCCCGGTTGATAAACACTGCCTTGGAAATCTCATTTGAATTCGTATTGGGTCATTACGCGAAGCGGACAGCAAATACGGGGTCTGCTTATAGTCTCCGCGTGGCATTCGCACACCGATACGGATCGCATGATACGGCCGATGCCGTTACACAAGCCAGGCAGAAAGTGGAGAGAGGCAGTTTGTAGCTACAAAATCGGAGGGCCGGGCCAGGGATTCTTGTGAGCAACTTAATTACAGGACGCAAACAGGGACGAGAAGAGGACTGAGAACTCTATACAGGGTAATGATCTCGCGCGAGAGGTAAATCAATGCGCCGAGGAAATTCAACTTTCTAAATTTAGAGGCGGATTGTGTTTGGGGCGGGCTTGGCTGTCGCGAGCGCCCCGGCATCAATTGCGGGGCCCGGGGTGACGGCGGGGCAGGTGGCTGTGCCCGACCGAGCAGGTGAAGGCTCCCGCCCCGGCCACGCTCCGGTTTCTCTTCCTCCTTCTCTTTGCCAGACTTTACCTCGGATGACCAAATTAAATAGACATCTTATCAAACCAAGCAATGCGAATGAATCTGTGACAGTAAGGCGTTGCATACAGGGCAGCAGTGTAGGGTTCATCCCAGCAGGAGAATGCACTTGAAATAAGCGAAAGAGTTTAGTCTTTTTTTCTGGGAAGGATATCGGTCAAACACGGTGAAATGTTCATGGCAGACGCAGCAGTGTGACGAAGTCTGCGATTGGCACTTTTAAGTTGAAAAGGACCGGAAAGGTGTATTCCACGTTCTGGACATTTATGCTCAGTCCATCGCTGGACATTTTCACTTGGCGCACCATGTACATGAGGTATAC